ACATTATTCAGAAATTATTATTAAATATGGAGTATGAGTTTAATTTTGATACTTCAACAGAAATTGTCCATAAACAATTACAGATCTATGTAAACATACCTTCATTGATGATTTCAGTTCAGAGGCGTCATATTGTGCTGTACTCTTCATCAACCCCAGAATCAGATGCTCCAAAGAGCCTGAGAGCGCCCCCTTCAGGGCACTTACCAAATCCTACAACACAAACAGCGTTGGGTTGTTTGGAACTTTGATACACAAGATATTTATTATACATATCAGTGTACTTCATAAAGGTAAGATAATCCATTTTTTTAATAGATAGTCCACAATTTTTGTATTAAATAATTATGGTGTGTACCTTCTTTGTCCGTTTTTCATACTCAAACGCAATTTCGCTCCTTTGTGAGCAACTGCGTTTTGTCAGAATGTCAATGATCGTCTGCTCATCAACACCTGAATGAATAAATGAAGGCAAGAATGAGAGGAGAAGATAGGGATTGTGAAAGAAAGCCACAGAGCATTATTAAGATAAGGCCCTAAAGGACTAATTGCACCTTTTTATTTCCTAGTATAAAATCATTAAATAGTCTCAGCTAATATGAGACACTGACACTACTGGCATACAAATGTGCAATCAAACTCATTCACACACTTAGCCTTGATATTCATTAAACAGCAGTATAAGGAAAAAAACAGCATATGCTGGTTAGGTAGGTTTTGAAGCTTGGATACTGGTTTGAGCTGGTTTAAGCTGGTCCTTAGCTGGTCATGTGCTGGTCTTAAACTGGTCGGACCAGCACATGACCAGCTAAGGACCAGCTTAAACCAGCTCAAACCAGCATCCAAGCTTCAAAACCTACCTTACCAGCATATGCTGGTTTTTTCAACAGGGTGTGCCTATATCTTACCAGGCAATTTAACACAAACCCATTTTATTTAGCCTCTATTGAATTAAAATCATACATATATTTCAAGATTCTACCCAAATACTTACAAGACACTGACTCATATTTGGCAGTTACCACTAATTATTTACAATTCGATTTCAACAGAGAAGGGCTCACCATCCATTCTACCTTGAGATTAAGAGTCTTAAAGCACCACTCATCCTGTTTAAGGTAGTTAAGCTGAAAGTTTGTCTGCTAAGCAAATATAAAGGCACTGAAACAAATATATCAGTGAAACAATTATGAAATGCCACTGGGGACTCTTTTTGTGTTCCACTAGAAATATAATCTGTCGTGCAAAATCAAATCTACAGATTCCAATGCAAATGTTAAGTGTTTATGGCACCATCCTTTACCTTTGGTTTTGATGGCTGTCTCTATTTTGGCCGCATCCTGCTCTGGGTTAAAATTATAAGCTGGGACCACTGTAGGGCATTTAGGTTCTCTCTCCTGAAAATATCAAGAAAATTTAGATATAGAAATATAATACATAATAATATATAAAATATTATGGATAGAATAAAAAAAAAATACAAACAATCAATCTTAATAGCCACTTCAAAATGTACAAAGAAGTGTATTTTGTTTGTTGAATTTGTGATAATACTACATTTTGTAACATTTCATGTTACAACTGTAATAACTTACCCCTCCATAACTCAATGTAAGTTTCGTCAAAATCTCAGACACTAAAGCCATTTTCCTGCAGAGGACAGAGAACACATGTAATCATCGAAGTTGAACAATGAGTAGATAAACAGGAGATACAATTTGTGCTTTAAGCCACTGTAAAATACAACCTCACCCTTTGTTTCAAAGGTCTAAGTGATTGTTGTCATAGATACAGTGATTAGTACTGTGTATAAAGGCCCAGTTCAGTGTCATCACAAGCAATAATGCAAGTCAATAACCATTTTACTGCCCTTAAATGTGTCACAGAGAAAGTTATTTCTCATGGTATAAAAAAAAGACTGAAAAACAGCTTTTTGTTGTGCTGTTGTCCCTTAGCAACTCTACAGCGGTTAAACTTCCCCTACAGTGCTAACAGGAAATCATTTTCTCTCTGCACTATACATTACGAGGTGAGCTGTGAAGGGTTTGCTGGAACTTTGTTCAGGCACACCCAGACACACCCTGTACACATTCCACAGACCACTCAATCTCTGACCATCACACACACACAGACACACACACGCACACAGCAAGACCAATACAGCTCTTTCTGCAGATTAAACAGGACTAGAAAACGGAAGCAGTACAATCCGCAATAAAAATATGACAATGCTAGTCTTTTGGTAAGATTTACTACAGCAGTCCTGTCAAGAGATGCGGTTCATGTTTCTCAGTCTAATCAATTGGCAAATCACCACAGAGGACCAGAGTCTTACCTGAGATGCTGTGGAGAGTGAAGGTGTAGCGGTGGAGTTCCAGTTGTATCTCTGTGTATGGGATTACCTTTTAAATGCAGTCAGCCAATGACTCACCGTCTCCTATCAACCCACACCTACACCCACTCAAGATGACGACCTAAAAGTTTCTTATTACTTAGTTATTCATTTACTGGGCTCCTTACAAAAATTTACTATAGTACTCACAGTTTGTGCTAAAATGTCATCTACAGTTACGGTTACCACTGTGAAACTGCACATTTTCAAAGGGAACATGTATTAATGACAACTGCCATCATAAATAGCTTTTTTAGTTTCATAAAAAAATCACAAAGATTTTTTCATCTTGCATTGTTTGAAATTCCATATTAATTTGATGTGAATTCATCATATTTCATAAACTGGGGAGAAATTTCTCAAATTGTCCGCATGTAAATCTCTTCAGGTAAATTGAGTCATTCATTTAAAAATATGCGCATATAGTCTGTATCATTATTAATGACTTAAGGATTTGGCAACTGTGATTTCACAAATTTGATACATACATCCATACATAGTTTTCCTAATCTCTGACATCACGGTTGCAGGCCTGTGCATGAATTTCAGTTATTCAGCATGTATGTAGACCCTATGTACAATATGTGTTTAAATTACATGGAAAAACTGTCAGTTTGGACGCAAATGACATTATGTTGAATGTTGAGAAATAGTGGTGTGAGGTAACCCTATCCACGACTGTTCCTGACAGAGAGGATATGAATTAAGACACATGTACAGGTGCATCTCAATAAGTTGGTGGGTTTTTGTTAAATGTGAGCCAAAATCATCACAATTAAAAGAACCAAAGACTTAAACTACTTCAGTCTGTGTGCATTGAATTTATTTAATACACGAGTTTCACAATTTGAGTTGAATTACTGAAATAAATGAACTTTTCCACGACATTCTAATTTATTGAGATGCACCTGTATATGTGGTGTGTAAACTAAAAGCAGCATAGCAAGAAAAGAAAAAAATCTATATTTTTAAACCTAAACTATAACCGGGAATAAAAAAGAACATGCATCCTGAAACTAAAGTATGTTTCTAAAATATATAATTTGATTAACATTACCTGTTGGTAATGTTCCATGAGTTAAATAGTCCACTAATCCCATTCCTCAATGTTTAATACATTCTGCAAACATATTCACTGAGTAACTACATGACAATAACAGTAATGACAATACACCATGCAGTTTAATTGATCATAAAATCATTTAGAATGAAAAAACTCAATTCAGCTTCATACCATTCTTGAGAATTAAGAAGTAAACACATTTGGCTTGCTATTAAAAATGTAGGGGATAAAACCACCATCAAGTCTTTCTCTGATGTAATTATTACAGATTAATTGTCAAAAGAGTGAGGTAAACAGCTATTTATACATCTTTAGCAGGCTCAACATGTTCGTTTGGATCTATAGTATTAAACTGCTTCACACATGGTGTATGTGCAGTATTGGGAGAACCAGAGTGGTTTAGAGATTCAAAGGAAGTATGTTTGCTTTTGGATTTTCCGTTTAAATGTTGTACATCTTGTTTTAACCATTTTTTTAGCATTTAAAGTTTTAGAGAAAGGTCGATTGTGTTCATATAACTAATTTAAGGTCATCAAAATTGCTGAAGCTGCCTAGAATTAATGAACTAACTGGTCATAGAACAGACAGCAAGAGAAAAATGACAACTGTAATTTTCATCACAAGCTGTGTTTTTTTTTTTTTATTGTTATCAGCACGTTCAACACACTATTTGTCAATGTGTGACATGCGTCTTTAATAAAAGTAATTTAGGGGGTTAAACCTCTAAATACAAAAATCACAACATTAGATGAAAACTGTATTTCAAAGAAACAATACTTTGCATTTTTGTACAGATGTATATACAAAACAAAGGCAAAATACCTCAAATCCAACAAATAGAAAGAAATGGACTATTTCTACAGATCTACTGGAGAACTAGTTGAAGAGTGTTTGTGGATTAAATCAAAAGGAGACCACTGGTTAATCTGTTAAAAATGAAGGATGGAAAATATACAGAGGAAAAACCCAAGTCTTCAAAACAAAAGGGCGTTTTTCTTCAGTACAAACTGTGATCCACTCAAATGATTAGCATTACTCACAAATTAGCATATTATGGTGTGTGTATCATACAAAACATTTGGTCATTTGTCAGTGAAAATATGACAACCTTAAAAGGGACTGTGTTACTGTGATACTCCTCTTAACATATACATAGAAAGATTAAGTACTCATGCCCCAAAACCAAAGCAAGAGAAAAATACAATACTGCCTTAGTGATGGACATTTAAAGAATAATTGGCAAATTAAAGAAAGAACATTCCAGGCCTCTGGACTAGTACACAGATAACACCACACGTTACGCATGTCATAATAATAAACAGCTATAATTCATACTGAACCTGGATTAGATCAGAAATCAATGTGTTTAATTGATGAGAGTGTAAGAAATTAATTTGCTAACCATTTAAGTGCCATAATACTTCTTTAATAGCCAACCAAAAAGTTCGATAGAACCAGCACAAACAGTGGGATTGAGGATCGCTAAAAAGATATTCACAGAGAATACACAGGCCAAAACAAGTCTCTAAAGAAATGGGAAGGGGGTAAAGACATCAGGACGAGGGAGAAGCCAAACCAAGCGAATTTCAAACAAAAACACGTGACAAAGTTCTGCATTTAAAGCATTTGCATGCAATTTCCGTTTTCAAAACATGATTATGCCCTTATTATTGCTTTCTGCTCAGTATTATTTTGGATAATTCTTCATCTACACACCTGACCCTGATTCTCGAAGAGGACAATTTCATAATATTTCCCTACTTTTTACACATTGTTTTTCAAACGACTGTACTATAATGCCGTCCCCTTGCAGTTACGGACACGTTCACTCTCCTCCTCAACTATAAAACAATAGTTTCCCTGAGCAGTCCCAAAATACCCTTTTATGAGGTCAGATATTTGATGGATTGTCTTTCACGGAACAGATACGAACAAGAATACTACAGGTAAAGCAGTGCCAGCCCTTACAAAAAACATTAAACAGAGATGTCAGATCGGAACATCTTTACTAAGGTTATTGCTTGTCCTTGTTTGTAGGCTGCGTGCTAAATGCATTCAATTTGGTTCAAACGTGCGTGTTGAAGGGGCACAAAAATATTGACACAAAGATCCAACATCTTTTAAAAAACAAGCCTGTGTACACAGCTGCAAAATAAAGGAAGAAGAAAAAAAAGAAGTGACCATTTTTATTCTCTCCTCTTCCCTGATGAGCTGCATTACTAGGTGCAAAAAACGTCTAGACGTATCTCAAAAAGGGTCAGTTAGGAACAACGCCAACCGCCTCCAATCCCCATGACGTTTAATACGAACTGCTAGATCCCCTGGAATGTCAACACGTGCCCCTGATCTGTCAATCATCACTGCACTCAGCTCACTTTGACGGAAATCTAATCACAGAATCACTATGGCACAACAGGGAATCACACTAGCTGGCTTTAAAAGACAGAGATTTAACAAAACACAAACAAGTATTTCAGATCTTACCGCTCTAAAACAACAGCATGTTCCTTCAGATTTTTTTTTTCACAAATTCAATTGAAATCGTTTATTGCTGGGAAAAACACAAAGTGCTACCTTTCGTTAGGTTCTACACATCATACATTGCATGATTTAACTAACCATATAACAAGAATATATGCACATATTTGAGCTCACTGCCTCAGAACATGCCATTTGATCGTAAAAGTTTCAGTACGATAGTGATTCAGGTCTCATAGTTTGAGTCCCATGTTATGCCTCGTCCACTGTCTTCTCCTGGGGCTGGGGCAGTGGTTTCGCCAAATGATGTCCCTGCTGAATGTGTGTATACTGGAAGAGGTCAGTAAAGGGCAGTGCTGTGACGTTAGCACCAAGTGGGCTGTTCATTGTGGCACCGGAGAAAAAAAGACAGGGATTTCAGCTCTAAGACGTTCATTTCCTGTCTTCGTCTACCCCAGCCAGACACCTCGTTACTGTCTATGGCCAGTAGAGGGCGATGCTGGGGCGGTCAAATGCAGTCGGCGTTTCTGCTGAGATCTCATGCAGTCAGAACAGGAGGCTGAAAGATAAAGCTGTGGCATGGAGGAATGCTCTGATGCACATTACAAGACATCACCAGTTTTTTTTCCCTCGCATCTGAAATTTCCTCTTCTAAAGGACCGTCAGCCTTCTGGTGCATGGCCAGTGGGGCAAGTTCAAAGTGTGGCTGGACTCTGAGAAGTGCTTTGTGAGAATGAAGTGTACATGAACTGAGGCTGAAGTGAGCTTAGAGTTCTTGTCAGCATGTTAGTATTGTCTCTCTCTCTCCATCTCTTTTTTTCTGAATCTGTGCAGTATAGGATTAGTCTCTATCAGGCCTCCTGAGGCAGAACCTGCTCAAAGTCTGAGCCAAACAGCTCCTTATAGAGTGGAGGGAAGCGTGTGTGGACCGTTTCTGGGTAAAGAGCTCTGAATGTGCTCAGTTTTTCCATATGGCGACGGCATAACATCCGAACGGTGGACACCTTACAGACAAGCTGAGGGGGGACAAGCAGAACATCAGAACTGGTTGTTCTAAGGCAGTTCTTAAGAGAAATTTGACTTGGGAAACAGTGATCAGATGAGTAAATATAACTAGTTTCTACAAAGGTAACTGCAAACATGAGTGTATATATACCTTTGCGAGAATTCCCTCATCCCTCTGGTTCTTCTGCAGGAGGTTCTGGAGGGCAATCTTGATCTTCTGCTGGAGTTTCTCCACTCTGGTCTTCTCCTGCAGCCAGGAGCGATCTACACACACACACACAAAGAGTTCAGCACCTTCACAGATTTGAAGCAGATAAACGGTGTAACAGATACACAGCAGAGTTGGACAAAATTCGGATGAGTTGGAATTAGAATTGAACTGGTCACACCCCACAGGAGGATAAATTGGAATTAGAGGAAGAAGAATTTAATAAATTACAATTCAAAGAACACAAGTAATGCATTCTTAGAAATGAACTAGGTCCCACTTTGTATTAGGTGGCCTTAACTACTATTACTATTTTACTATTACTATACTTATTGTGTTCATATTGTATTGCAAAACACTTTGCAATTGAGGTGGGATAAGGGTACTGTAAGATTAGGGACATGTTTGGTGGTATGGGTAGGTTTAAGGTTAAAGTTGTAGTTACAGTGTAACTATAAATGTAATTACACAAAATTAATTACAGATGTAATTACATGTAGATTAAAAAAAAAAAGTACAATGTAAAAACATGCATGTACACAATAAGTGCATTGTATCAAATTATTAATTTAAATGCAAATACATAGTAGTTAAGTCCACCTAATATAAAGTGGGACTATGAACTGTTCTTCCACTCTGGTCCACAAAACTGACGTTATGAAATATGATAAAATATACAAAAGATTGGGGTTGGTAAGATTTTTTTAAATGCTTTGAAAAAAAACACAGTAAATGCAGTAATACTGTGAAATATTTTTATAATTTAAAATGACTCTTTTCTATTTTAATATATTTTAAATGTAATTTATTCCTGCAGTCAGCAGTCATTACTTTTCTTTTTTTTTTGCATTTTTGTAGGATTCATGCATGAAAAAAAGAACAGCTTCTTTTAGTTACAATTTGAAAAACAAAAACAAAACACATATATAACATTCAAATTCAAACTGCAATTCTGAATCAAGTTTGCTACTTCACTTCAAATTCAGGAACTGAATTGGAAGTTAAAAGACATTTTTGACTTAATTATGATTTAATGACAACCCTGATATTCAGAGGACGTACAATTAAAGCCTCTGCAAAATGGATGTGACTCCAACTCCTATCAGTGAATCTCTCTGACATTGGCCTTGTTTTTCTTCCCTCACCTGCAGACATCAGCACGTATGCTGAAAACAGGCCGATCTCATCTTCACTGAGCTGTAGAGAGTTCAGGCTCTTCGCAAACTCAAACACAGAGCTGATAAGATCATCACAGCCTAGAAAAAAAAAAAAACATGAAAACAGCGGTTAATGCTTTGCATTTTCATTTGCTATTTCCTTTTCCTTTAAAAGAGGAATCCAGCTCTTAATGCACACCCAATGCTTTGAAGACCTCCGGCCCAGCATATTTGCTGTCAAAAAAGACAGTGTTGTTCTGGGAGTTATATGCCCGACACATCCTCACGAACACTACTTCTAAAGAACCTGAGAAGCAGAAAAACACGCTCATTATTCAGTGGTTCTGCCACAGTTTGTCACTACTCTGATGCTGTTATGTGAACTTGGATATGTTTAGAGGTTTATCTGAGGTGTACCTGCTTTGAGCAGCACGATCTGATCGTTCTGACAGAGCTCCATGAATCCATCAATGCGCTTGGCAAACTCAACCACATACTGCACAGCTTCAGTGACTTTAACCGCACACAGCTGCCACATGTCCTCCTGGGACTAGATGGTGCCGAGAGAGGGTCTGTTAGTACACATACCTGATTATTCCCCTCAGGGATCATTCAAGTGCATTCATCCATCTTTCTGTCCATCCATTTACATACAACAACAACAGAGAAATGTGGGGAAAACAATGGAAGTAATTAGTACAAACTTGTCCTCCTTTAAACATTTTTTGTGCTTTTTCAACCCCCACTAGTCATAATACATAGCATACAATGCTTTTAGTCACTTCCAGCTGTAAAATCCAGTGGTGGTTATGAAACGAATTTGGGACATTGAGATGATTTGATATCAGGTGTACACACAGAGCCAAATGTACATAACCAAACACCTTCTTTTGGTACGCGTCCAGGTCGGTCTGTAAGACTGTCTGCCAGTTGCTGGGCTGTAGCTCTTCTTGAAGATACTGGCACGTCTCCATTTGAGACTTGCAGATGTTCTCTGACAGATGTTCTGTGTTAGAAACACACAAATAGAGTCAAACAGCTGGAGCTGACACACATTCCTGGGTTCGTGAAATGCACATCAGAAATATTGAAGTTGTATATTATTGCCACACATTTTCTAAAACTAAACCATTAAGACTCATTTTAGTCAAAAAGGAAAAAAAAGTCCTGTGCTAGTATTTGACTGGTCTGTGTTAATGAGGCACTTCTTACTAATGACATGTTAAATGGGCCATGGAGGTGAGTTCACAGACCCCTGCTGTTTCAAACCCCACAGCTGTCAATCATGCCCATAATGGCAGCATCCCATATAATTATGTAGGGCGGCACTATGTAATTTAATTTGATAATATTTTCGTTCTTTGCAATTACGTGCCAAATGATGCCAAAGTAACTAATAGCTAAAATGATTTTTAAAATATTCTGTCTTTGATATTATCTGATATATTCAATGCAATCTTCCATAATAATGACAAATAGAATAAATTCTAAAATAAAAAAATATAACAATGAAAAATTAAATAAAACAATTTTTTATATATATTTTGTAAGTGATTAGTATTTTATAGTTGTTACCTAGGTCACTGTCAGGAGGTGAAGAGTCTCCATTGCTATAGCAACAATATTGATCTAAGCCAGAGTCCGAGCTGAGGTCGCACACAGGTTCTAGTTTAATACCATCCATGTCTAGACCTGACTGGTCTGGAGAGGGCTGAATGTCTAGGTAAAATCCACCAATCGCTGAATCTGCCTTTCCCTCCTCTGGGGTCTGACCATTCACGTGTCCACTGAGGTCATTGGGGAGCTCTGTGATGCCATTGGCGGACAGGGCGTAAGAGGGCGTGAGTGGCTCCGCCTCTCCTGGAGGTTGAGGTTCCCGCCCCTTCTCTGTGTCATCACCCACTTTCTCCTCCTGCTGCTGTTGACGGTGTTTCTGAACCTCTGCAAACAGACTGTCCCTCTGCTTCTTAGACATCCGGCCAAATTTCACAGCTGTGAGTGAACAGTTTATCATTAATAATGCTAATATCATACTAAATGTCTGAAAGTATTGGTAACACTTTACAGTAAGGTCCCATTACACTGTAAAAAAATTTTTTTTTCGTAAATAAGTTGTAAATAAAGAATACAGGAGCATGTTTTACAAAAACTCTTCAGTTTTTCACAAGCAATTTGGGTGTCCACACTAGACGCGTCGCGACAGAATCAATAAAATATCACAGCCAATCAAAAGCGTTTGTGGGCGGGCTCTCTCTGCAAGCACACTGCACTTGTAACGAAATGGATAAGTTTATAATCTAATTCATAAATATCAAACCTTTTTAACATCATTAAATGTACATACTGAGTGACTGATACCATCTTTAGTATGCTTGTTGGTTCGCATTGAGTTCATAGTTTTAACGTACATGTTTGCTTTAATTTATTTTTAAGATCTGAGGTAAACTATCGTTGTTTTCAGTATGGCTATAAATGTCACGCAATATGATATTCAAACTCACATGAGACACGTTTAACCTTGAATAAAGCACATAATCAACTGAGAATTATCTACTGTCATAGTTTGTATGTTGTTGTTCCAGCCGTGACGTCGCAGAAATAGAAACCATTCCTAAAATAGAAATTTTGCATGTCACTGTCGCAGCTAGTTAGGACAAAAACTCCAGTTAACATGGAAAAATCTACTTTTATCGTTTAACTTTAAACCTTTTACAGTTTAACTGTTTATTGTGAGTTTGTTACCTGAGGTCCATTAAATAATATGAACATACATACAACTTTGGATTTTATTAATGTACTAATTAATGTTAATAAATTATTAATACATTTTTCAGAATGTTAACTAATGTAAGTAATGTTAAGTATTGCTAACACATGGAACCTTATTCTAAAGTGTTACCAAAGTATCTAACCGGTTTGTTCATGGAATTAGGTTGTTAACAAGGTTAGCAAGTAGCCAAGATCTGAACTTCTACTAAAAGCACTGTGAAAGATACAATTGAAATGACTTACAAAATTTTCGAATAAATGCAAATACATTGGCATTTGCCATTGCTTAATAGCATTAAAGCTCATGGTAAGTTTCTCTACGGAGAAAATGAATGGTATTTTTACATTTAAAACCCTACAGAGTCATGGCCAAAAGTTTTGGCAGTGACATAAATTTTGTGTTTTGCAAAGTTTGCTGCTTAAGCTGTTGCGGTGTTCATTCACATTGTTTCTAGATTATTGTGTAGAGTGATCAGATGCATTTTAAATAATTGCTAAAATCTTCATTGGCCAAAAAATTTACTTTTCACAAAAAAACAAAAACAAAACAAATTTCACTGTTTTTTGATCCTGACACAAAATGACCAGCTAACATTAATTGACTAATCATATCAGCAGCACATGTGAAAGTGTGAATGAGTACTAGTCAGGTGAAATCACTATCATACCAAATAGATTGTAAGAGCAGACGGATTGCTATAAAAGAAGCGCTTCCAATCATTGTGTTCTTGTTAGCAATGGTTGGTTACCTCCCAAAGAAACGCGTGCAGCCATCATCGCTTTGCATCAAAATGGCCTCACATGCAAGGAAATTGCTACAAAGAATATTGCACCTGAAAGAACCATTTACCGGATCATCAAGAACTTCAAGGAGAGAGGTTTGACTGCAGTGAAGAAGTCTTCAGGACGTCCCAG